ACTAAGCTCAACACAACACTAGTAGTTTTCATCTTCACTACTAGAGAAAATATTTCCGTCAACTCAAATCCTTCATTTTGTTAAAATTCCTTCACAAAAAGTCTCTTCTTATAGTTTCCATCTAATTCTTCTTTCAGCTTGTAGACCCGCTTGTTGTGCAGTGCCTTTTTGCCATTACTACAAGAGAAAATATTTCCGTCAACTCAAATTCTTCATTTTGTTGAAATTCCTTCACAGAAAGTCTTTTCTTATAGTTTCCATCTAATTCTTCTTTCAGCCTGTAGACCCGCTTGTTGTGCAGTGCCTTTTTGCCATATGGTAATTTTACCAGTTCACATGTCTTATTTGACATTAATGACTGCTTCTCATCATCCATGACAAACTTTCACTATTTTGAGTCATCAACTCGAGTGTTCTCATCACAACACTTTGGTTCATCACTATCAGTCAGCAATAGATAATATAAAGAAGGAGAATATCTCTGTATTGGTCGTGTGATTCTGCTAGACCTCCTGAATTTTCACGCGCTTCATCACTTTGAGCACCCTTTCTCTCTCTATCTTCCTGATCACTTGAGTCTTTTATCTGAACATATTTGGAGTGATCTTCAAAAGCAACTGATGGATAATCCCGAGCTATGTTTTTGTCCCTGTACATTTTCATTTCATTGAGAGTAATATCACTGCTTCTAATGAATTTTTTATTCTGATAGTCTCATAGCCAACTTTATCTAAGTCATACCCAATAAAAATGCACTTGACAGATTTTGGATCAAGCTTACCCTTGGATCTTGCATCAACTTAAATATATGAGGAACAACCAATTACTTTCTTGTGAGATAGATTAACTTCTTTGTCACTTCAGGCTTCTTTAGGTAATCATTCACTAAAAGGATCATGATTTATCAGATAAACTGAAGTGTTTACTACTTTGCCTAAAATTGCTTTTGCAAGCCTGCATACAATCTTGTACTCCTATTACACTATGATAGTTCTATTCATGCGCCCGACAACACGATTTTACTGTAGTATATTTGGAACGATGAACTCATCTTTGATAGTTTCTGAACAACTGATCGCAATAATTACCATCGTTATCTGGTCTGAGACACTTTAATCTCAAGTCTTTCTCATTCTCAACAATGGCTTTCTATTTCTTAAACAAATCAAACACATCAGGTTTATGTTTTAAGAAACACAATCATATCTTCTTGGTGTGATCATCATTGAAAGTTACAATATTGAGAGCCTCCAATATACTAACTTGGAATAGGACCTTATACATCTGTATACACTAACTCCAACTTTGACCCACTTTTAAAAAAATATTCTTGGTGTGATCATCATTGAAAGTTACAATTTTGAGAGCCTCCAATATACTAAATTGGAATAGGACCTTATACATCTGTACACACTAACTCCAACTTTGACCCACTTTTAAAAAAATAACTCTTTTGCTTGAAATAAACACAATTTTCACAAAAATCTAAATTTTTAGACTTTATATCTTGAAATTTGTTTTTAGAAAGTAGAGACTTTATATTTCTCACTCATATGACCAAGTCTGTAGTGCCGGAGATTATGGGTGACCCGACAAGCTAACTCAACCTGAACCCAACTAAAAAAATTCAGGTTCGGGTTGACCAAAAAATGACCCGCCAACACTAAATTAAATTGAAATCGACCCATTAATCATTAATTAACCCTAAATTAACTTGCAATTGACATAAAATTGATTCAATTTTAGCCCAAATAACAGTTATTCCTTATTTTAAATGGGTTCTACAAGTTGGGTTTTGGTTGGTGGGTTGAAGGCGGGTCGGGTTCAGGTTGGGATTTTTTACCATTATAATATAAGTCTTATAGTTAAACCTATTCATGTCGGATCAATTTTGGGTCGAACGCATACCTGACCCACTGAGCTAAATTGATATCCCTACCAGAGACTTGCATGAATCTTTGTTCAAGCGACTCCAATAGATTTATACATCTCATTAATCTGATGGAGGATGCCTTCAATGTTGCCTCAAGCCATCTCCACTGCCCTTTTGGTGACTTTTTACGAATCACGTGTGAAAGTGACCACATACCCTGAGATTGCAAGCTGACTCACAGAAAACAAATTACTTTTCAAACATAGAACATGTCTAACTTCATTCAATTCTAGATTGATCCATTTTGACAACTTGATATTAACATTGCTCTTTCCAACAATATTGTAGGCCTTTTATTTCCCAAATACACTTTCTTTATATCACTTTGAGTATAGTTTTTTAACATCATTTTGTTAGGGCAAGCATGGAAAGAGGCGCCTGAATCTACTATTCACCACTGAATCCATTATCCATAATTCAGTACTGTCTAGGGATAAAATATTACATCTTTAATTTTTTTGTGGAGATATTTGTTGAGAGTTTTTTGTCTGGATCTCCACCACTTTTTGTCTGGGCCTCCACCACTAATCTTCTTCAGAGTTTTATGGTCTTTCCTAAAGTGACATTTCTTTCCATAGTTTTAACATTCTCCTATGTCTTTTTCTCTTCGCAACCCGGATTTTTCTCTCCTAGACTTGAATATGTCCTTGCTTGTATTTCTATCAAGTTTCATTTCTTTAGTTTCAACATTCAAAGCAAAATTTGAAGTTTCACTGCTCGCGTTCTTGCGAACTTCTTCATTCAGGATTGACCCCGGAATATCATTAAAGTAACTTTATATTTTATGAAGAGTAACTCATAGCAGTAACGAACCCATCCTAATTATTTTACTATGAAGTTAAGAGTAACAGTATTCTAACCTCATCATCAAAGTTGATGCCAACAGAACATAGCTTGTTTGTGTTGAGTTTAAGCTAAACTAATGACAGATGAGCAACAACTACTATGAGTTCATGAGGAGTTTGGAAATTTAGATGTTCCTCGAGCACTTGAATATTTTATTTCATTAGATTTGAATAAACTTTGCAATGCTCAGAGAATTTTTTGCCAACAAATTTACAAAGAAAAAATATGAGGGTTGCTTTTAAGACTACCTTGTGTCAATAATCACAAGACTTTGTGCCAACCTATATCTTCTTTTCCATTGGCAAATTAATGTTCATTTCAACCAAAACTTTGTTTGCAGAAGGCCTAAAGACGAGTAGTAGCAACATCCAATTGCAAAGGGTTGCCAAAGATGGAATATCAAAGCTAAGAAAAGGTCCTCTTAATAGGTGTGTTGGGCGGTTCTACAAGCACATTGAAATAGGGGGAGCATTTGACCACATGCATTGGAAAGCCAATGACATATTAGGTGCATCTAAAGAAGAGTGGTATAATATGTATTTTGATGATAACCTTATACTGATGTGAATGTGATCAATAATCTTAGATGAATTGTCACCAACCTTGTGTATATTTGACATGGATTTGCAAATGACATTGATATTTGGACGACCCAATGAAATTTTTCCTGCAAAAGACATAAAACAGGCAAACCAGCTTGGAGATTTCCTCCTTAAAAGAAATAAGCATAGGTTTGCTTTGAAATGATGGAGATTATTTATGGTTCTTTACATGAAAATTAACAAAAGTAAAGGGATGCACTCATGTGTGTAAAAGAGTCTTGATGAAAATTAACAAAAGTAAAGGGATGCACTCATGTCTAAGGAACTACTCACAACTTTTGCATAGGAACAGAAATAATGAATGATAAGGGGCACCTAATCTTATGAAATTTGATCAGACCAAGAGGCTATAATGGTGATTGAATGGAGGAACAATTATGACTGTAGGAGCATTCAAGAAGGAAGGTCTGAGATGGAATGGTGATCGAGGAGAGGGAAAGAAAGTGAGTGCATTGCGAAAGCAACAACAACATGGGCGGCAAAGATCAAGAACAGTGGAAGAAAGTTTCCTGGAGCCCAAGTGGCCCATCTGGAGCCATCCCGATGCAAAGTCCCAGGGTCAAGTAGGAAGCACATAAACATGGAAGGCATTGAGATGCGTGGGTGCGCAATGAAGGAATGGGAAATGTGAGGTCGTGCAAGGGTAGATAGGGGTGTAAGTGAGTTAAGCTGACTCGCGAGCTAGCTTCAGCTCGACTCGATAAATTGCTCGTGAATTAAGCTCAATGAGATAACAAGCCAAGCTCAAGTTGTTAGCTCGTGAGTCAGCTCGTTTAAAAAATATTAATATAAAATATACTCAAATTATATTAAATTGGAAGAGTTTATCTTTAAACTATTAAACATATTTTAAAAAAAATAATTTTTTATATTTTATATTAAGTGATTTCTTATTATTTTTCTCTTAATTGCTCATTCTATTTGTAATGCTACTTTAAATTAATATTATTTTTTCTCTTTTGTAATAAACTAGCCGGCTTATGAGCCGGCTCAAACTCTTAGACTTAAGCTCAAGTTTGAGGTCGGACCAAATTAAATTTATCAAGCTCAATCCGAGAATGGCCCGAGCTTGAATCAACTTGTTTACACCCCTACGGTGGAGTACTACATATGGCACTTGAGTGAGAGCTTAACAATGCAAGACGTGCAAGCGGTGAGGGCATTTCACTCTAGGGGTGTGCATTATTTGGTCAAAACCAAGTGATCAAGTTTGGCCGGTTCGGTTCGATTTCAAAATTGAATTTCAGTTTTTGAATTTTAAAACTTCAATATTTGGTTTTCGGTTCTATTTTAATTTTCATTTAACCGAAAAATCAAAATTTTATTAAAAATTTTTATTATATTTTAATTTCATGTAGAATAAACTAAAAAAATCAAAAAATTTATTATATATAATATTTTTGAATGAACTAAATAAAAGATTCATGAAATCAAATTGATAACATGTGAATAAGATATGTGATTCATAATGCTTGTTCTTAACCAAATTTCAATAAATAATTAAATTTCGGTTTTTTCGTAACCAAACCTTTTAAACTGAATTAAACATCGGTTCGGTCGGTTTAGTTTTATTTAAATTTAGATTGGTTCGGTTTCAATTTCAAAACCGATTCATCCGAACTGACCGATTGCTCACCCCTACTTCACACACCTGAGATGAGTGCATTGATGTGAACACGGTTGTAACGGTTAATATGATTTATGTTAAAAGTTTTGTTGTACTAGCATTGTGTTCTAGGGTTTATTGTTGATGGGAGTATTGTTGTTGTGATCCATGCATGTAATGCTCAGGTGTGGAAGGCTTTGTTCAGGCAATGTTCTATGCTTCTTTGCTTTGTTGCAAAAAATCTTCACTTAAACTGCAGTCAGTTAAGTTCTTTTCGATGCTCCTACAAACTTGTTGCTGCTTCTCATTCTATTGACATTAAAGCTGCATCCAAATTTAAAGATAAGTTGGATATTTTGTTTTGTTTTTCATTAATTTTTGTTGAAATGGTTAAGGCATGTGAAATCTCCATTAACCGTGAAGGAGAGTGATTTCCTAGCTTTGTATTAATAGAAGTAGAAAGTAGCGAAAATCTTAATTGGAGAACTCAGGGTATGGAGAGTAGTTAAAATCCTGAGAGGAGAACTTAAGAGTGGACTTAGTCTGTTTGTGTCAAATCATCATACATTGGTTCATGTTTCTATTTGTTGTACCATTATTTTAGTTTCCTTGCATGATTTATTTGATTTTGTTACATTGTGATGTGATGAGAACTATGCTGTTTTATATCTTTCACGTGATACAAGATATTTGACAGATGGTAGAAAACTTTTGATTGAAAAAGTGTGTTATGATAAATATTTCAAGAGATGAACATCAAACTTAGTGATATTGTTGAAGTTAAACATCTAGCTTCAGTATTTGTAATCAATATTGCTTATTTTTGGATCAATAACGCTAAAGGGTAGTTTATTAAAATAAAAAATACTTTGGTTGTTAAACACTTTCCTTCTACCTTTGGTAAGTTTTTCTCATTTTCCTTTCAGCCATAACTCTTTAAGCTTTTTCTCTTTTCATGTGTCTATTATTCATCCTAACTATTTTTAATTGCTTTTTAATTATATGACGACTCACCCATACAAAACAACTTGTTGTTCGTTCTGAAATATAATCTTGAATATTATCTTCTTCTTGTTCTTCCATCCTAAGTAACTGCCGTGGTGCTTAATTTGCAATTGTTCTGGAAATATGCTTGCAATTTCCTCCGATGGAGAGAAGTTCCCTTTGTTCCCCACACTTCCTTCGCATTAGAGTTACTCTGAGTAGCTTCTTGATTTAAACTTGATAGTCATAAATTGCATATTTGTTTCAGAAAGAAGGGATCACAGTTGATCATTCAAGTTACCTGGATGCAAAGGTATGCCTTTCTTCTCTATTTATCCTGCTCATAAGAACTGTACCCATTTTTGTGATTTAGTTTTTCTAATAAATCAAATGAGTATTAAGTTTCTGTTGGTAATTTGATGTAATTTTATGTTCTGGTGAGCAAATATTGCTGAATATTAAAGATTTTCTTTAAAATTTGCTTTTTTATACATTCTTTAATAAGATGAGTCGGGTTTTTAATTGCTTTTGAAAGATATTTATGTGGTAGTTAAAGTTAATGTTAGTTATTATATTCATAAATCATATTGGTTGGGCAACAGTTCATCAGCTATAATCAAGTGAATGTTTAAATGCTTGAAGGTGACTCTACAAAGTGAACAATTGTGACCTTGTACTACAACTGTGTTATGACCCGACCAGGGGTTTAGAATTTTCAGAAAAAAATGGTTGTTCAGACGGTGAGATTCAAATTTTATTTTATTTTTTGTCACTAACAAGTAATCATCCTGTAGGTTTGGAGAATTGAGCCAAATACATTTATTTATATAAAATGTTGACCTAAATACAACTTACTAAAATTCTAAACTCAGGAAAGAAATAACATCAATATCTCCTAAACTTAGGAAAGAAATAACACCGATATCTCCAAGATTGCAAAAAATCAAATAAAATAAACTAAAAATAGAAACTCCTATAAATAGCCTGAAATAAAAATAAATTCATAAATAATAAATTGTTATTAGTTTTGCTTTACCCTGAATTTGATATCTATGCCATACTTTAATTTTCATTATGTCTGTGTGTGTTGCTTTCAGGACTTTTTTTTTTTTTGAGTTGCATGTTCATTGATGCGTGGTTTAATCATTACTTTTGTCATTCCATTTTACCTTTTTGTTTCATGCTGGTACTGTGTTTTCATGTCAATATTTTACATATCTTAAGTAATGATGGACAGGTTTTGAATTCTGTTTTTAGGTATATCTGGTAGAGATTATCTGTTTTGGTTGTATATTGTGATTGCTGAATTTGCTTATTAATTTATTATTCTTTTTAAATTGTGCATACTGGAGTCTAACTTAAGGTATTAATTTTCCTGCTATCTTATTAAAGTTGAAACTTTTTTTAAATGGCTTGCAGGGCGACTCTGATATCTTCTTCCCAACTGATTTTTGGCTTTTGGAGAGAATTGATCACCACTGCTCTGGATGGACAGGTGAGACGAACTCCAGATCATCTAAACCTGTGAAGCTGAGAAGAAGTATCACAGTAAGTTTTACTTCATCTCTATTACTCGTGAAAGAATGTTGACCATGCTATGTGCTTGACTTATCAATTCACAACTCATTTTCCATATTCACAGTTTTTAGTAAGTTGAAGAGCATAATAAATACCTTGTGAAGAACACCTTACACAAAAACAGTTGATGTTGGAAGAGTATTGGGGAGTGTGGCTTTGAGGGTGGAGCCTCCAAATGATATCCAATATTTAGGAGTTCTTTCATTAAGGGTGTCTTGGATAATTCATTGTATTTTTTGGCTGCCATTGTGATAGGATTATTTGCAAAAATTTGGGCAAATAAATATTTTATTACAAGAACATCAAACAACTCAACACGAATACATAAAATAAGCACCTACAATTCGAGAGGTAGATGATCTCTCCCAAATCCTATAATTTGAGAGGTAGGAAATCTCTCCCAAATCCTAACCCTAAGACTCATGACACTAATCTCATTATCACCCTAACTCTAAACATATTAGTCCTATTTATACTAAACAATAGTGAATAACAAAAGATTAAATTGTCCTTAATGACTGGCGTAACAACTCCCACTCTAAAAAGGCGCCTTATCCGCAATATGGAAAAAAACAAACCGTTGTTGGATCACATCGTGTGGCTCCCGCTCATAAACTGCATTTAGTTTGGTTCTCACCGTCATCACTGATACACTCGTTATAGTCTTCTTCAACTTCCTAAAGTTTTGGTCGTCGCTTTCCCCCACTAAAAGTCTTAAAGCCTTGTAGTATCATGTAGAGGATTACGTTGTTAAATTTTGATAAAAGAAAAGTAGATAATTACTTATTTAAAAGGTAAAAAGGTTTGCAGCATTTGAACCATGTATAACACTCTCAAATACGTGTCGAGGTTGTGGTGGAGGAGAAGCTACCACCAAAGAGAAATTGGAGGAAGAGCCTTGAAAAAGTTAGTGCGAACTGCATATGAGATGGTGACCTTCTTATGGGGTCAGTCAAGATCCTGGGAGAAGTCATTGTTGGCGGAGATCTGAAGAAATTGATGAATTAGGAAATGTAGAGGATTCCGTAATAGTGATCAACTGAAAAGAGTGAACACGAACACAAGATGAAAATCTATCCCTAGCGAGAGAGTAGAAGAGGACAGTCTATTGAGGACCTCTTTAGGTGCTAGAGGGATCGAGAGCAGATGAGACGTGTGTTATGAGGTGGTGTTGATGTCAAAGATAACCCATAAATCTAAACATAAAAAAATTAAGAAAATCCTCAAGGGTTAATGTGAAAAAGCTCAAAAATGAGATCTCTTGGGCCTTTTATGACTGGATTGCAGGAGTTCAGCATTTTGTGTAGAGTAGGGCAAGTGAGCTGGCAGAGTTGGAAGAGTAGCGCTAGGTCGTGATAACATTGCCTTATTTTTTCTTTTTTTGGCTTTATTTGCTCGTGATAATTTGAATTACTTATGGCTCTTTGTATTAGTTGTTCTTTGTCAAGTCTGTGGTATGTCTTATTTTTCATATCAGTATCATCTTCTCTCTTTAAAATATAATTGTCTGCCTCATATAAGCTTGATACTGCTGCTTTCATCGAACAATTTGGCTTGCCGTCAAAGACGAGGACCAAGGATGGGTATAACCCCCTTCTGGATGATTTCAAGAACACAAAGTTTTATCTAAGTGTTCCCACACATAACGTCATATAAGTGGTTCTCTGCATGAAAGACAGAAAGCTTTGGATCAACTTAGCCATTTGTTTTGCTTCTCAGAATATCTTTCGGAATTCAAGGTGTGTTTCAAGCAAACAATCTCTACGATTTGCATACATACCACTCAATTCTTATGTATTTACATCTCTAATGCATACCTAAACTTCAATTTTTACATACATGCCACTTCATCTATGGATGAAAGTGTGTATTCACTTTTTTTAAAGTTAAAATGGTGGTTTTTTTGTTTTGATGTTTGAAATTTTTAGTGGCATAAATGTAGAAAGTAAAGCTGTTAGATATGTAAATGCATAAGATAAAAGGGCATTTACACATGTACCACCCAATTCTTTTGCATTTACATATCTGACACTTGAACATTCATGTTTAATTGCATGCATGCCACTCATATCTCTTACATCACATCAAAAATATCACCACCACTATCTTCTTAAAACTGAAGCACATATTTTCATACATAAATTATGAGACCATGTTGGTATACTTATAAATATCAAACTTTTTCTCTTCTCTTTCTCAAGTATAATATAAGGTTGATTGATCAGCCATATTTTTTGCTTAAATCTAAAGTAGAATCAGATTTGAATTTGGATAAAAAATGCTCTTCCTCCTACTGACCTGATGCTTAACGTTGATATTCCTTTTATAGGTAACAGTAACAGTCAAGGACCTGATGTCTTCTTACATGCAGTATGAAACCCTTATAAACTCATACTTCCAATTTGTTCCGTAATTTATCTTAATAAATTCATGTTGGCAAAACTATTACCGCTTGAATGCTGGCACCTATAAATATTACAAAGAAGACTATATATTTGCATACAATCCACTCAATTTCTATGTATTTATATATATATCTAGCACCTAGATTTCAATTTTTACGTACATACAACATTACCATTACTATGAATGATTTAATTGATATAAATGTAAGAAAGCGACATTTAGGTGTTAGATATGTAAATATATTGGAATTGGGTGTCAATTTGTTTAATGGGAAAAATGTCAATTTGAAACAGCAATCACATCAAATATTTAATGAGATATCAGCAGCTAAGTTGTATGTATGCCAGCCGGCAGCCCTTCGAGCCGGCCTTCGTTGGCCGGCAACCTCTCCGGCCGGCCTCCCTTTCCAAACAAATTTAATAATTTTCAGGCTTATTTTATATTATTTGTATTGAAATATTTTTAATTAGTTTGAACTTTAAAATAACATTTACAGTGATGTTATACAGATTATGATATATATATATATATACACACATATACATACATATATACATATGCATATGCATATTGTATGCACCAAACTTCAATATTTTCAAGTCACTCATCAAAATTAACTTAAATTTCCTTATTAAATTGTAGATCAAAAGTCAACTAATGCTATTAGCAAATTCAATTTCAAACTGAGTTGAGTTTGCTCCAAATTAAGGTAGTGCGGCTTAAAATTAGCTTAGAGCTCGTTATATTCAATTGTGAGCTGAGCTGGTTGGAAATTAAATCAAACTCGATCAAGCTAGAAATTTGATAGGATCCATTTATAGGAAGGCTTGGAGAGCTTTGTTTGATCAGATGATTTTTTATGAATATTTATATGCTTTTAAAAATGTTGGAATTGAGCGATCTTGGGCTCTTTAGTTCGTCTTGTTGCGACGCTCGATTTGATTATAAGCTAGCCAGATTCAATATCATTTGATCTCCCAAATATACTCAAAAAGCTTTTAGGAATGATTTATTGGCCTAGTTTAGGCTTAATATGACTTGAATTAGATCAATTTTGGCTTCATCGAGTCTATCTCATCGAGTCAATCAATTTTATCATAAGTTTGTTGAAATTAGAGTTCTTCTTAACTTAATAGAAGTTTGAATATTCTTTGCTCAAAAGATTATTTTGAAATCCGTGATAGTAATTTATTGATGCATCAATAATATTAATGTTATATATATAATTTTTTGAGAGATAAGCACATTTATAACATTAATATTATAAAATTAATAGATAAAATAAGGCATGAGTTATTGATTCGAAAAATAACCGTAGTTCATTTAAAAAAAAATTCTGTTATATAAATACAAATTGTTTTAAACATAATATATTACTTTTACACTTCTTTTTTTTTTCTCAATAAATTAAATATATTCTGAAAGGTAGAATTTACTTTCATAATAATTTTAAAAATAAAATAATTAAATTTGAAAATATGAATGTGAAAATAATTGAGATAATTTTATATCAATTTTAAAGTACACGAAATTCATGTTCAAGCGCATGTTAGGGTTCATAATGTCAACCCAAATTGGGTTGTAAATTTAGCTTGAAGATCATTAATCATTTGAAAATTGATTTAAATTTAGGCTCTGATTGAGATTGGATTGAATTAAAATGAGCAGAGCTATAAGTCAAAATTTTGGATCAAATTCTTTTTAGAGTCAACCGAGCTCAGCTTAAAATAAAGATCTTATAATGTTGTTAGGAATATGAATTTAGCTTGATTATTGTTAATTATTCAAAAATTAATTTAAAATTTAATCCACATAGAAATCAATAATTCCAGCTACATGCCAAAATTTTAGATGGATTTTTTTTTTGAATTAATTTTTAGCGGAGTCCAAGTGGAGTTGAGGATCAGTCATCATAATCCCAAGTTCCCAACCATTGTTTGAAATTTTCAGGAATTAGGTCAACAATCTCAATCCATTTCTTAATTTGATGAGTTGCAGAATTCCAACTAACATTCGCCATTGATCTTTCATTCCGGTGTGTGTCAACAATTTACGCAGCTCCGATCATCCTCCTCCAATGGCGAGTTTCTTCGGCGGCTGCTGTGGGCGACGCACTTTGGTGCTTCTAGTCCTCGCCACCGCCATCCCCTTCTCCCTGATCGTTTCTCTGGAGCGAGCAGCCACCTCTACCAATGGCTCTCTCAAGTACACTAGCCACGGCTGGTTAAGGGAGTGCGCCAAATGGGACCATCCACGTCGCAGATTTCTCATATCCACCTTCTTCGACGGAGGAATCGCCGAGATTCGCCTCCCGGACACCGCCGACAGCTCCGACTTGCAGGAGCGTACGGTGATCGCCGACGCTGACGTCGCCGGCAACGCCTCTCTAGGGATCGCAATCGATGGGAAGCGAGACCGTCTCCTTGTTGTATATGCTGACATCATGAGATTTCGGTCCGCCGCAGTAGCCGCTTACGGACTCGAGTCCGGCGAGCGTTTCTTCCTTACTCGCCTCAGCCGACCAGGTCTGCCGTA